AGCATTGAAAAGTAACTTTTGCAGTTGTGTGGAGCATAACAGAAGACAATTTCGTGCACTCACCATTCTCCACACATGATTCAAAATCAAATAAATAAACTCAACAGAAAGGCAATGCGTCACAACATACATCGCAACATGTGGCACAAAGCTACGTGCTCTCTACTTATGCCATGTGCTGCGGTGTGGGCACCATGAGCTCCACGCACATGACATTTACTATCATATGACAGTTCACTAGGGTGAACTTCCAGCATGCACTATTTCGTCATATGACATCCGATCGAAGTAATTCAAATACTCACACAAAGCTTATTTGATAAGCTAACTAATGAGATAAGTTTAGACATAATCTTATAGTCCGATTAAAGTTATACACTCAAGTGTAAAAAGTTACTTTTCTAAAAAATTTCAAGCACTAAAGCACTTAAATCTCACATTTTGTCTTATTAAGCCATTTTGGGCCTAGAAATAAGTCCAAAAAGATCATTTACACGTGATTGACTAATCATCACAACATGTATACACTCATACCAAGATTTGGCTATTAAATCACCCATTTACACAATAAAGGGCTATTTTTCACAACTTTACACAATAACACTTTCTTAGCCAAATTCACTACAAAATTCACTACTTTCACATTTATAACACATTTATAAACAAATCTTAGCCCATTATCACAAAATTCACCACAAGTAGCACATTTTCACAGATACTGGGCTAAGATTTTTAAAATCACTACTTATCACAATTTTAGACATACATGTGATTCATATAGAAACTCATTCATTTATGCTGTACAACAAAATAATTTCATTACACAAGCTCTTAACCACATGAAAGTAGCATCACTACACCAGTCTAGTGTCTTTTCCTTTACTTAGCTTACTACTCTAACCTATAAAAATATAATCATAGGGTGAGATAATAATCCCAGTAATAGAATAATACACTACTACTAACTATCACAAGTAATTGTAAACAAGTATTGCATATAAGTAATCAAAATAAAACATATAATATAATTTCATTTCATAAAATCATTGTCATAACCAATTCTCACCACTAGCATAATCAACTACTGTCTGAACCTCCGTATCACCTCGATTGAAACCATAGGCTCTTTTAGGCCAATACGCACTCATTGACCTGATTACACTTTCAATGGTAAAATAACCCAGCCAAAGGTGTTCTGTCTCACTTTTGGACTATGGTTTCCCCCTATCACATACCATGATCAGGGTGTTGTTATTCCAACAATGCATCTCACATATGCTAAGGAGCTTGGATCTCCAACACCACACCCCACATGGACACTAAGGAGATAATCTCCAATGCTGCACCTCAATAGGTATTAAGGAGATGAAATTCTCCAACACCATACCCCATGAGGAATTAAGGAGAATAATACTATATGCACTTCTCACTACTTCACTTTATGAGTGAACTCCTACCCCTTATGATCATGCTCACATACCAACAAGCAAGTTGTAATATAAATCCATATATAGCCAAATAGTCATATATTTTCACAAAAATTATTTCTTTGAAATCCATTTTCTTGAAATCCTTTTTCATGCACAAACATTTATTTTTGTCAAAACTTGCATAGTTCAAAACAATTTCATGTAATAGCTATAATACTTACAAATAATTATAATATATAATTACATAGAAAAATTTATTCAGTTACTTCAACCCTTCTGTCACAAGAAAAGAGTTACTCGAAGATTTCTTATATATGTAATGTCACCACACGCTTCCTTTCCTTAAAGCACACTGGCAACACGACAATCTATACATATTTAGCACTATAAGAAAATTTATTAAACTAACCACAAGTACTAATTATTACTTAAAATCACGTTTAGCTATTCACTTTCTTTTACTTAGTCAATTTAGGTTCATTCCCCAATCACCTATATCTATCACTTCTATCAATCCTAACACACTTTTCTTCAAATTCTTGCTCCTATTTCCTCTTAGTTTAGAGTTAATTTAAGCTTATAACTTCAAATTGTTATCATTTAACTCCAAACTAGTCGCAAAACCTTAATGTATGTAATGATGGTAAATATGTGGAGAATTGGCCAATTTTGTATCTATATATGAAATTATGAAATATAGGCCTTGTTGTTTAAAACAGGGCAGTTTGACAACCAAATGTGCATGTATATGTGATTGTGATGATATTATTATTTAATCAGTGTAATTGGTCCTTTTGAACTTAGTTCAAGGCTCAAAGTAGTTTATTAAGGCAAAGTGTGGAGTTTGAACACTTGGGTGCTTAGATTATTTAGAAAAGTGACTTTTCTACTCAAGTGTCTAAATTGAGATTAGATCATTGAATAGTATCCAAACTTATCTCATTAGATAGCTTATCAAATAAGCTTCGTATAGGCACTAAATTACTCCGATTGGACCTTGTATATGAAAATGGTGTACACCAAAGTTTTTCTTCTATAAACTACCATGATAGCAAAAAATATCATATGCACCATGATGCATGACACAGAATAGGAGCTTGTGGCTCTATACCATATGCAGTGGTGCATGTGGCACAAATCATGGCACATGGCCTTTTTTTTTTTAAATTATTCATTTTACTCTGTTTTTCATATTAAGTGATGTTTGTGCAACTTATAGGTTTCCGTTGAGTAATAAAATATATATTTGAATGATTTCCAATTGTTTTTGACAAGTTTCAAGATCCTAAATGAAAGAAATTATTTTCAATATTATAGTTATTTGTTATTTTGATATTTTGAGAAGTTTGCAAGCCTCTAATTATGATTTTGTGAGTTATGTGTTACAATTTGGTAATGTCAGGTGGGACATTACATATAGGTTTGTGGAATTTTATATTTTTGAAATAAAAGTTAAAGGTAGTCATTATTTATATATGTCTAAAAGAGAATATTAATACATGTTAACTAAAATGTTAAAGTGGTGATAGATATAGTTGAGCATGTGGAAAAATGAACATTATATAACCATGATATATGCATGATCATGGTGACATGCAATACTTGTTGGTAAGGGTGAGTTTAACCTAAAGTGATTGGAATTTAGTCGCTTACCCTCAAAATTAAACTAAAGCTAACCCTAATGCAACATAAGGCCAACCTTAGGTCATCTCCTAAGGAATGGTCTTAGTCTAATTAAAAGTTATCTAGTGAAATAAATCACCCAAAGTTGTAGGATTTTAGTTACCTAATTATCTAAACTAATTACCTAATGTGCAAGTAATTAAAATGCTAATTAAAGTGAATGAAATGAACTTTTCTTTTCACAAGAGTGAAACCCTAGAAATTAGTTAATTTTGGACTCATTATTGTAACATCTAAAAACTTTAAATCTGGAATAAATTGTTAATTAAGGGATTAATTAGTTAAGAAAGTGATTAATTAATTTAATTATGTTTTTAGGTTGTTAATTAGCTTCTTGGGTTATATTTAACTCTAATTTGAGCTACGATGGAAGTTAGATTGAATCAAGTAGTATTAGGGGGGAGTAAAAATGATATTTTTCTCACTATGTTGTGCGCCACAGCTTGTGTGTCGTACGTTGTGGCACACAGCATAGCCAAGCAAATGTAAATTTTGAAAATTATCAAAAAAGGTATTTTTTACAAGGGGAAACCCAGAGCATGAAGGGAAAGGATTTGGGAACTATTAGGGCTTCAATTTGAGAGGATTTTGAAGCTAAATTAGGCCTTTAAACTCTTAAGTTTCTCATCTTTCTCCTCTATTTTTTCATGAAATTTAGAAGTGAGAAAATTTGCTCTGAATGCATTAAGCTATGAGGCTATGTTTTAAAGATTTCAATTGACTCTAAAGGTTTGATTTAAATTTCTTAACCTTGGATAAGTGGTGATATGAAGCTAAATTGTTGTTTGGTGTAAGTTAAATCAAACCCTAGATTGATTATGGGGTTTTAAAGTGTGACAAGTTGAGATATTAAGTGTTATATTATAACAGGTTAGAGGGAGGCTTGAGGAGATTATGTGAACAAATTGTATCTTAACAAGCCTTTTTGTTGAGAATATGAGTAAGAAACGAAAGAATTGAGATGTTATTGATAGATAATAGTACTTGTATTAATTGAAAATTAATTATTGTAGATTGTGGTGTAAAAAAACTTGCTTTGACACAAAAGGAGATTTAATACCATGGGTAACACTTTTAATAACAAAAGAGTTGAGGTAACTGGATAATTTACTTTATTTATTACCTTGTATAAGTTATTCTCAAGTTGTTCTTCTATGATTTGTTATGTATGTATGTATAAACTTTGTAAAAATTAATTATTTTAGAAAATGAGTGGAGTATCGATTTGTGAAATTTCATATTTTGGAAGTAAGTGGTAAGATTTGTTATAATTGCTTAGAAAGTAGTTTATGCATGGTCAAGTGGAGACACGTAGTAAAATATGGCATGTTAGAGGGTGGGAGGCCACCCTAGTGGAGTTAGTAGAGATTAAATCCATATGACACTATTGGCACCTCAAGATGCCAAGTGCAACTCATATTTCTCCTTAGTGCCCGAAAAAGGGTGTAATGTTAAAGACTTACTCTTCTTAGTACCTAGAAAGGTACAGAGTTGGAGATTATGTTTTGTAAGATGCGATATTGGAGTAACTACACTCTAATTACTCGTAATAGAGGGAACCTATAGTTTAAAAGTAGTTTAGGATGCCTTGTGTAACATCCTAAAAATTTTAAGACTCAAATTTATTTAAAAAAATAAATAAAAATAAAATAAAATATCTATAATTAAATTAAAATTTAGAATAATTTAATAGAGGCCTAGAGTTTGAATTTTACTAAGCAAAAGTTTGGTTTTATTTGATTTTTAACTATGGGAAAAATTACCAAAGTTGACCCGGGCTTTTGTGCAATAATAAAAAATATTGGGCCCTTTCTTGTAATTTTCCCCAAACTTTTTGACTAGCATTTTAAAGAGCAAACAGATGCAGAAAACGCAGAAAATGAACAAGGGAAGGAAACGCACAAACGGGAGAGTGAGAGAGAGAGAGAGGAAGAAGAAAGGAGAAAGAGAGGGAGTTAGGCTCGGATCTAGGAGTCTTTGCGACCGTTGCGAGCTCGGCTACACGATAGGTAAACTCCCTACTTCAATCCTCTTCTCTTTCTCTTGATTTTCTTCAATTTTTGGAAGAGGAAATTTTTGGATTTTGATCCCAAAGGTTTATTCTTGTAAGCTTTTGTTTCTTTGGATCCTAGGGAGCATGTTTTGAGTTTCTATATAGTGATCTAATATTTTGAGTGGATAATTGGATGAAAAGAGGTGTTTTGGGCACAAAATAAACCTTGAGAAATTGGGTTTTTGTTCCTCAATGGTTTAAGCCTATTGATTTAGTTATAATTTTGCTATTTGAGCCCAATAAGATTTAAATTAAAGTTTGGTTTTCATTATAAGGGCTAATGGTAAAAGTTGGTGGCACTAAGTAAAGGTTTTTAATTGATTAAAAAATTATATAAATTGAAAATTAGCCTAGTGATGGCTAATAAATGGTTTTGGTGGTTAAGTGATACTATGTGAATGGTTGGTTTAATATATGGACCATTAGGGTGGATTATGACTCATTGACCTAAGTTGTGTGGTATAAGTTATAGTCTTCATTAATGCTATTTGTCATGATAAGTGATGTGGATCACTTATATGTTGTAGAAAATTGTTGGTGGAACTTATTGAGAAGTAAGGAACAAGCCGAGCCCTATTTTGTACAAGGGGAACCCTTTTAGTACCAAAGGGTTGAGGTAACAGGGGAATTTATATTTCTTATTACTTTGTTTTAGCTATTTTTGAATAAATATTACTAGTTATCATGCATTACATGTTTTAAAAGATTAAATGTGCTTTATAAGGGGTTATGGGGTACTACTTTGATTATAGTGCAAATATGTTTTCTAATTGTTTAATAACAATGTTTTTATGGAAATGAGATTTATAAATATTATACTACTTTAGAGTGTTGAATGGTCAATACTCAGGAAAGGTAGACAAGAGTAAAAGGCATGATCTCGGTGGGAGTTCACCAATGAGAAGGTGTGGATTTTTGATATTCTATGGCACACTGTCAGTACTCAGTGTTGTCTTACGTATTGTGGGCTCAGTGCACTAAAGTGGTTAGTGTATTGAGTGTTCGACACCTCTCAATGGGGGAGGGAATCCGACATATGAAGTGTGAGGTTGAGTGCCTAGGCCAAGGTAGCCCTCACATGGAGAGTAAGTCGGGCTGGCTCTGGGAGGGAGTTAGCTTTGACTGCTCAGGATTCACGTCGAAGGGGCATAGGCGGTTCGGTGGATTAGATCATGCCTTAGATTATGTTTTGTGCCTGTGGAGGTACAAGTAGGTATAAGGTTTACCTGCGAGTTAAAGAGTGCCAGGGGGCATTCTGTTGGTCATGAAAGGCCATACCGGCCTAGGTCATGCATTCATGCATTTTAAATGGCTAAATTATATACTATGTTGAATTTATTATTCGTTTATTTGATTATGGCTTACTTTGTAATAATCAATGTAAATTTTGCTGTTACTGAGACTGTGGTTGTCTCACCCCTTTCTTTTCAATATTCTAGGTCCAGGCGAAGGATCCAGTGGTGGACGGGGAAAGGAGCAAAGCTAGGGGTTTGCTTGTGATTTGTAAAGAACTGCAACCCCTTTCTTTTGAGCAAATATATTGTAATGTATTTAAGATTAGGGTGCCAGTAGGATGTGATTGTGTGTGTGTGTGTGAATATGTGTGGATTGTGTGCTTGTGTATGAATTTTTGTCTGTTTGCAGACTTATGGCTAGGAAACTTGGTTATGGTGTGTGGTTTTGATGGATTTACTTAGTACACCAAGTTTCTATTACAAGCAGATCTTTATTTTGATATATATGTGATTTTATAAGCAAATGCAAAGTGGTTGCATTGCAAATGGTGTGCTATGGGAAAACATACAGCTTGGATAGAGAGAGTGGGTGCGTGGGCCCCACAAGGAGCTCTGAGCCAAGTGAAAATGTTTAGCATATGTATTTATATAAATACATGGTATTTGGATTGATTTGTGACCACTCTTGTATGATTTATGCATTTTTGAGGTTTAGGGTCCATTTTGGGAAATGGCACCCGAGTGGTCAAATTTTGATGTATGGGGGTTTTCCATCATTTGAATGTTCTATCAGGTGTTTTTAATCTTATTTGACGTGTCCAAAGTGTTTCCACAGGTTTGTGACCATTAGGATGGGATTTGGACAATTTTGAAAATGGTTTTTACCAAAAAGCTGCACTTTTGCATCCGGGTGTCCAAATCTTAATCCGACCGTTGGATTTCTCTAAAATTTGGGTCACAAGTAAAACCTTTTATAAGCTTCGTGTGGGCTTTGGAATCACGTCAATCGGATATCAAACAGAGAAACGACGCACTCTGAAATTTGGTCTGGAGGTGCTGTCATGACAGCATTAAATTGCTGTCATGACAGCTACAGTATTGATTTTATAACCTGCACAAAATTCAATCCGTCCGTTGGATCTTTTCAAAATTTAGTATGCTAATAGTATTCTTTAAAAGTGACATGTGGGCTTTGGAATCACTCCGATCGGAGGTCAGATGATGAAATGGTGCACTCCGGAAGTTGGCCCGGAAGTGCTGTCATGACAGCTTTTTAGCTGTCATGACAGCAAAAATAATCAAATTTTTAACATGTCTAATTTTAAATCCGACCGTTGGATCTTTTTGAAATTTAGTATACTTATAGTACCCTTTGAATGTGACGTGTGAGCTTTAAAATTACTTTGATCGGAGGTTGGATGGCCGAATGACGCCTCCCAGAAGTTGACTCGGGAGGGTTGTCATGACAGCAATTTAAATGCTGTCATGACAGTATCTTTTTATTTCTCTTTCGTCTAACTTGCTTCCGTGCGCTACAGTTAGAACCTATAATTTTTTTTAAGGTTTTAAATATTTAGTTTGCAATCGTATATTTGCTTAGTGATTTAAATGGTTTGTTTCCTAAGTTGGTTTTAGGATTAACTCCTTAACCACACTTAGTTTATTTGAATTGTGTGATTTTTGGATAACACTCGGGGCAAGTGTTACACCTTGGCTGAGTATTCCTACTATGAAAGTTGAGTTTGGGGACTATACATGTGGTTTGGTTCAATGGAATAGCCTACTAGTTCGGTCGGGAGCATTGGAGGATCAAATGATTAGCAATCATGCATTTTATTGTGATGAATTGTATATGGTGTATTTGTTATCCGTGTTTTAAAGCTTATTTACAACTTGGCATGTTAATCGATATTGTAAATTATCTTAGTTACTAAGATTTTTATCTCACTCCATGGCTATTATTTTACAAGTTTTACTACTGAATTTGAGTAAGGGAAGGAATCAAGCAAGGATTAGCAAATTTTCTACATTACAAATAATAATGCTCGATTTTGTTTGAGTGGTGTATATAAACTTAGTGATATAATATTATATGTTGTCAACTATGAATGATATCATTTTGACTGGTTGCACTTGTATTATACTATATTATTTTGTATTTTAGTTGACTATTATATATGATGTGAATATGTGGTATTTTTGTGGTGATGGGCCAAATTACTAATACAAGTACAAGGAATGTTGTATACATATGGTGATAATATATATGTGATGTATTATGTGGCAATAAAGGCCAAATGGTGTATGTGGTAGTGATTGTGCATTTTGGCTATATTGGGTGAAACTGGCATTAAGTGGCTAAATTTTGTGTTTGGCATGTTTATGTGTGTTTTGATTTTTGGGTACTTGGATACTTGAAAATCATTTTAAAAAATGATTGTTGCATTTGAGTGTCTAAAACTCTCATATAGTGTCAGATCATAATGAAACTTATAAATGAGTTAGCTTATTAAATAAGTTTCACATGGGCACTTGAATCACTCCAATCGAACATCAAATACAAAAATGGCGCACGTTTGAAGTTCATCTCAAAAAGCTATCATGACAAGGACACGTGCACTGCGGCACATTGTGCACAAGCCGTGGCGCACGGTATAGTGGTAGAATTGGCCTCTCTATGCAACATGTCGTGGCGCATGGACCATAAGCCACAATGCGTGTACCAAAATACTCACAAATGACATTTTTATCCCTGTTTTCAAATGTTTTGCTTCCCAAAACTCTTCCATACTTCTCATATCTTTATATATCATTAAGTTTGAACTCAAACTACCTATTTGAAAAGGTTTTATGGGATCCCAAATATTCTAAAATTATTTCTAAAAGATTATTAGTTTTGATCCTTTTATATTTAATGTGAGCTTAGGAGCAATCTTTACTCCTAATTATCATTATTTGTTGAGAGTTTGTAGTGAATAATGGTAATGTCAAGGTGGATATTACAATTATCTTCTCATGATTATGCTAAGTTTAGTTTCCCTTTCCTCTTGACCAAAGCTATCATGGCTTAAGAAAATTATCACAAGCCAATAAATCTAATTAGCTAACTTTCCTAGATCTTAGATTAAAGTCCCTAGTTTAATTAACCAATTGGTGTAAAAATTAACCAAGTAAATCACTCAAAATCCTCCCTATATAGCCATGGTTAAACATATATATTGAGCAACCACAAAATTATGTCAAGCTACTCAACAACACAAGTATTAACATCACAAGATTATGCAATATTAACACAAGTAAATTACTAATTGAAAAACACAAAATTATGTGTTAAGCTTATAATGGCCAAACAATCATGATAGCCCAAAGAAGGAAATTAAATGAAACAATAGTCTCTCTTTATATCAAAATCAAATTCAAATTAAAATTTACAAACTAAGATGATCAAACTCTGGATTAAGGAATTTAACCATCTAATTAAAAGAGAAGAGGATAGGAAACAAAAGAACTTAGCCAATCTTCATCATCTTCAAAAACCTTAGGATAGAATCTTATTGGCCAAACTCCATAACACCTCGGATGAAGAAGAGTTTAGATCCTTGAGGAAATGGGAGGGGAAGTACGAAAATGAAGAGAGGAGAAGAATGGTGTGACTTTTATGGAGGTTTGATAGCTGAAAATGGGAGTAAGGTGCCGGAAAATGAAGAACAAAAGAGAGAAAATGAAGAATAATATGAACAAGTGAGAGAAAAATGAAGGAGATGAAATGAAATGGATGGATGATCTGAATTAGGGCAGAATAGGGTGCAAATCCTTATTTCCCATTAACTAAAAGCTTAATTAAAAAATAAGAAAAGAAATTAAAATGAAAATGGGAGTCTTGTCACACTTGCAAGGTGGCAAACCTCTTATTGGTTTGTAGATAATTCTAATGTGTGTGTAATTTTTCATATGTCATCCGCATTATTAAACTGATTTAATTCCCTAAATAAATCAAAAATCATGCCTCATGCCCTAGCTTTTGACCTCTAAATGTTTTGACCTCAACTGCCCAATTGATGCACAAGTCATATGCCACCTATATGACAATAATTAAAAAAGAATTATGCACATCACAAATAAACATTTACCAAGGATCAATATCAAAGAGTAAGCCTCTCTAGGTTAAGTGTTTTTTCTCATCACTTAAAGTGTATAAGGTATTCAATTTCACTCAAAATTCCTTAAGACAAATCCTACCATAAGTTTGTAACCTTTCTACATTTCCACCACTAAATAGCACTTACAATCAAGAATCAAGTAGATGTTATTAGGTTGTAATGTGGGTAATGAAAGGATGTCTAAGAAATGCATGTAAGAAAAATAGGGTTAGCATCAAGATAATGTTAAGGTCAAGATATATCCGCCTAATATATAGTATAACCTAATTTAATTGATTGGACACCTTAACATAATGAGAATAGAGAGAAATCACAAGAAATAATGAAACAATGAAATTAAATGAGCTAGGCTACTTTTATTCTTTTTTTTTCTTTTGTTTTTCACCTTCTTTTCTTCTTCTTCTTTTTTTCTTTTTCTAGAAAATTTATTGGTTTCATTTCACATATATATATATATATATATTCAAATCTTTCTTTGCTTTTCTTTTTCTTTTGGTTGCCCCTAACTCTTTGGGAAAACAATGGAAACAATAGATAAAATGGTGTAACAATAGAGTATAAAGAGTAATGGATAGAAAAATGATAAAAGGCATCTACTCACTTGATCTAGGACATCCAATTTATATTAAAAAGATATAAAAGTGTAATATGCATCCTTTAGGGAAAATAGGGTGAATATTTATGCTTGGAAAGAATCAAACCAAAAGCTCAAAGTGGCTAACAAAGGATAATCAATAATAATGGGTTGGCTATTTGGCTCTTGGCTATTTTTATATAAATTTCATCTTTCATCTCCTATCAAACAAGTGCAAGATATACAGTTTTAATTAAGAAGCGAAACAAATTATAGAGGGTAACATCACTAAAGAATTAATTACACATGAGTGTTTAGCCTCTTCCATAAAAGGGTAATGTGACACTCTAATCCATTAATTTAAGGTAAAAGAATATTCACTTCACACCTATTCAATCCTAAAAATTACTACATTTTAAGCATCAAAATTTCCATTCAAAGAGCTAGGTCACTAAGTAACCTCAAACAAAATAAAACAAAATAATTTTTTTTCAATTTTTTGAAAAACTTTTCCAA